GAGGGACACAAAGGGGCAGATGGAGCCTTTGTGATCGAATGAAGGAGAAGAATTTGAGGAACAATTCATGAATAGGTAGAATCTCTGGAGGGGGAAAAAAACGCAGCCACCTGCTGTCTTGCTCTTTCAGGCAGATTCTCTTGTGTACCACTGAGATTAACTTCCTTTTCACATGCAGTCTTTCTTAGGCTAAGAACAGAGAAGAAGTCTTCAAATTAGAATATCTGCTTCGTTTATTTTTCGTCTACCCCCACCGGTCTCTCCGACCACCGAATGCAGTTCCTCATTAATGCTCATTTGAGGCTGCTTGCATTACACTGTCATCATGTCCACTTCAGATCCTGTAGGATGTTTGCTGGAATTAGATTGGACGGGCTGCTTTGCTCTGGTTTCTCTCAGAAAAAAGAAAATCAGGAATGCTAGTTCAGCATTCTGATGCCAGGCTTTAATACAGCTCACTGTTAAAATATTTATGTAGTTGGACAGTTCTCCAAAAAATGAAAATTATGCTATTCCAGACCCATTTGCTGCATGGAACTCAAAAGTAAACATCTATGAGAATTCATGACAGAGGTCTTGCCATTATAGCTTTAATATGTCAAGCTCCAAAAATGACAAACAAATAAATACAATTAGCCCAATTTGTGTGAACAGATCCAAATTGGAGTCATTATTCACTGATAATCATCCTCTCCCTTTAAGTTTACTCTACCGTTCACAAGTTTGGGGTCAAGTTGTTTTTTAATATAAATTCAGCAAATATGCATTAAATTGATTATGACATATGATTAAAATTGAATAAATGCCGAAAATAAATCCTGAACTAAAAATGTATCATGAAATCATGGATTTCACAAAAATATTAAACAGCACTGTTTTAAACATTAGTAATAATAAGAAATGTTTCTTGTGCACAAAATCAGTGTATTAGAATCGTTTCTGAAGGATCATGTGACACTGATGACTGGAGTAATGATGACTGCTGAAAATTCAGCTTTACCATCACAAGAGTAAATGAAATTTCAAAATACATTCAAATAGAATTATTTCTAATTGTAATAATATTTCACAATATTCCTGTCTTACTGTATTTTTGATCCAATAAATGCAGCCTAGGTGAGCATAAGAGACTTCTTTCAAAAACTTTTCCAAAATCTTCCTGATCCCAAGCATATGTGAAGCCAATGACAACATTACTTGTTTAATTTAATTGCACAACCTTATATTACTTACATGTTCAGCTACTTACATTGTATGGCTTCCCCTGGTCACCATGAGAATAGCTGCGTAACCATTACTTAAAAATGTCTACTTTTGTGTTTTACTGACAAAAATAACAGCATGACCATGAATAAATAAATAATGCATGAATTTCCATTTTGGCCAGAACTATTCCTTTACCATTGTGCTGCAATACTGGCATATAAATGATTATTATTATTATATAACAGATCCCATTTGCTCTCATACACTATCGGCCTTGACTTTGTGGGACCTGCAGCATGTAAGATCTAATATGTAATCTGCTGTTGTGTTCTGCTCTCCTCTCAGGGTTTCCCCCTTCAGGCAGAGTATCAGAGCATGGTAAATGTCACATCCTCTGCCGGACCTGGCCTGTCCCCTTCAATGGACTACCGCACGGGCTGCAGGAACGGACCGACCCAGGGCCTGGACTGGACCCCTGACTACTGCGGCAACGGGTGAGCGGACACTAGCGCTATCATTCAGGAAAATAAGCAATTTTCTGCGGCAGCCGTGCTGACTTGTTCGTCTCTCCCTCCACAGAGCCCTGCAGAGGGACAAAGCCATGTACCTGACCTGATCGACATGCCCAACCCCACGCTCCTTCACACTCACAGGACCAAGCCAGTTCCTCATCCCAGTACAGCTATTCAGGGCCTGATTGTTCAGGCCTTACTTTAGACTAGACAGCAAACCAACATTTGAATGTTTTCTTTCTCATGGCTCACACTTTAGTGCACCCTACCGTGGTGGCTTTGGAATTTGTATCTCCTCCTAGCTTCTGACATTCAGACATTTTGGATCTTTAAAATAGAGTTTAAATCATCGCAAGCATGACCATGTAAATTGTATGCTAACATTTGTTTCAATGCAATCACCTCTCTAATGATATTGACTTTTAACGCCCTCCTGTTGTTCCGCGTCCTAATAAGAGGCCATGTATGGAAACCCCCTGTAGACGTGTGTTTTATTGCTCATGGTTTTTAAGACGTTGCGTAGGTCAATTTGCCTCGCAGGAAGGTTGTGTCAATCCATCAGTTTCTAAGCACTTACCGCTGCGTGTTGGAGACTCCAAGCTCTCGCTGACAAACGGCGGAACGAAAGCCAAAACAGAACTTCGTTTTTGTACAAAGAGGAAAATCGCAATCCGAAAACAGAAAAGAAACAAAAAGCCACAAAAAAAAAAAAGAATGCAGACGATATGAGTCCTGCGTCTCGCCTCGCTCCTCTTTCTCGTCGTATCATTCTTCCTCTCTGTAATGATCTTTTCTAGTCAACTGCCTTAGAAAGAGAGTTCTGTTGTAAGTATAAAAGTCGCTCATAGGAAGGTTATGAACGGGTTGTTTCAAGCAGCCCTCGTTTCAAGCTGTAAATAGAATCTGTGTTACTCCTAGAGTATAAGAATTCGACTTTTTTTTTCTAGTAACAATGTGATTTTGAATTGGACCACACCAGTTCGTTTAAAACTCGAAAAGGGATAATTAGCCAAGAGGGGCAATTTCTTGGCAGCGGACGTCGCTGTTGTTTAGACCGACAAAAAAGAGACTAAAAAAAGTATTCTTTTCCCAAGTTTAATAACGTAAAGGTTGATGGCATCAACCAGTGAGGTAGCATGAAATGATTCATTAAGGAAAGTACTAAAGAAAAGTTTATTTTGTATTATGCAAAATACTTCTTTTGTATCACTTCTGGCATATTGATTAATGTCATCCAAACTATGTGTATGAAACTGTCAGATGCTTATATGGTGTTAATTAGAGGAAACAGTGGCAGATTGGAGAGTTGCTGTATAACCCTGGCATATGGCTGATCATTTACTATTCCTCTACACTGTGTCTATATGAGATCTTTTTATGGTACTTGTTTGCGCCTATTTATGAAGGAAAAAAAAATAACTGTAGGTGTTTTTTGAGTAATTATGTTAGAGTTCCAGGGATGTTTTTCTGTTAATTTGTTTTGACAGAATTGATCCAGGCAACAATGTGAATAATTCTTATTTAGTTTTTATTGTGTTTGAAAATAAATAAAGGCAAACCTGCATTTTTGTGCAGTAATTCATCAACGAGTGTCACGAGTGTTTCATTTCAGGGCTAAATATTTGTATGGAATATTATTTGAAACATTTAGAACCTCATAATTCATCTGGCAGAAAAAGGTCAAGCTTAAGTTTATGTATAATGAACACTAATTCTCTTCCTCATTCATATCTCATAACTGGGTCACGGTGTTGTTGATACAGAGCGTAATAATAACAATCCATTTTCCAACCATGAACACAGCACAAATAACCCTCCCAATGTCAAGAGCACATTCCTGCCCTGCCATACAGCTGCCACAGACCCATTCACCTAAGGTTTTTACATATTGATCTCCCACTAAATGCTTCCTTAGTGTCATTTAAGTCACTGTTTTTCTCTCTCCATTATGCAAAGAAACATCAGTAATCTAATGGTACAGTACATCTGAATTCTGTCCTATTTATGTCAATATTCCTGAAACTACATAACATTACATACTCAACCTAAAGCACACTGTAGGAGAATAATGAAGAGTGATTAGCTCGCCTGACAATATCATCACTCAAAATTAACAGACCTAAAATAGTAGGTTTATTATTTCAACTTGTTAAAAGATTCTGGATTGTGAAAGTACAAATCATAAAACAATTATGTACAGCTGAGTGTGTTTTATTAGTTGTAGTTTGAGGTAAAGCAAGGTCAAAGTTAGGTTCTGTAAACAGAAATCAACTTCCTTTTGACCTAAAACTCTATTTGGACAATGTCCAGGCTTAATGGACTTTGTACAGGAGTGTCACTAAAGAAGCTAAAGAGAGATCAATAGACTATCTCTATTCTGACTGCCTTGTTGTTTTTGAGAACTACAGCTCCTTGTCATGGAGGTCGTTTTTAGTGATGGTTAAATATAGCCATCTAGTGGCCAAAGGCAGAATAGCAGCGGGCCTAAGGCAAATCACTGCTTGATTTAACAGACAAATGCTAATATTATTCATATATGATTTCCCCCTTTAAATTATGATTCATATTCCAGGTAAACCTGTTTAAATAACAGGTAAATGTCCAGAATGAGTAACAATGTGATTTACCAAGGTTACTACGTGGAGCTAACAGATGGTGCAATAGGTGACTAATGTTACCCTGTACCGATCCTTATCACCTCATCCAAAACAAAGACTGAAGGAAAGAAAAAAACAGAAATCCTCCCCTGAAACCACACCCTCTCCTACTTGCTCACTGTCCAAAAACAGTTGATAAAATGTCTAAGCAACAAAAAAGAAAAGAAAAGAGCAATCAGCTGGGTCCCACTTTATATTAAGTGGCCTTAACTATTATTTACTTACATCAAAAAATGATTACAGTGTACTTATTGTGTTCATATTGTATTGCAAAACACTTTTGCTGCAATTGAGGTGGGGTACGGGTAAGGTTAGGGCCAGGTTTGGTGGTATGGGTAGGTTTAAGGGCTTAAGTGTAAGGGATCGCTAAACAGTGTAATAATCTATATTGTAATTACATGCAGGAATAAAAAAAAAATACAATGTAAATACATGTATGTACACAGTAAGTGCATTGTACCAAATTATTCATTTAAATGTAAGTACATAGTAGTTAATGCCACTTAATAAAGTGGAAACACTGTTAAAGGAATAGTTCACCCAAAAATGAAAATTCTATCATTTACTCACCCTTTCTTTTTTCTGTTGAACACAAAGACAAACAGTTGATGGTCCCCATTTACTTCTATGACTTCATGTTATGGAAGTCAGTGGGGAACGTGAGCTGTATTCTTCAAAACATCTTTTATGTTCGTTAGAAGACAGAGATTCAAACAGGTTTGGAAGAACTTGAGGGTGAGTAAATGATGACAGAATGTTTATTTTTGGGTCAACTATGTTTTCAATGCTGACTCATGGTTCCCTGGCTCTTGATATTAATGAACAAGTTGAAGCACTGAGAAGTCAAATCTGCCAGGCTTATGAGTTAGAAGGGCTGAATCCTGATTACGTCCACTAATTACAAACTGCACATACTGAAATTTAAAAGGATTTTTCAGTATGTATGATCATGAGACCATTTAAAATAAATCTGCATTCCCTACTGTAACACAGGCAGTTTTGGGCAATTTATTGTTATTAGCTCTAAAGCATGAAAACACATACACACACACGCCAAAAAAATAATAATAAAAATAAAACAATTGTATGGCAACCATGCAGCTTTGACATACAATTTTTACCATACTGTTGTTTTGGACATACTAATCTCAATCTTGTGTGCTTCAAAGCAGGCTCTGTTTGTGTCAGCATTACTTACTATTGATATAATTAACAGGAAACATCTAATCCGATCCTAAACAAATATATACACTATTGTGCAAAAGTTTGAGATCTGTAAAATGTTTTCATGTCTTTCCATGTCCTTACCAAAGCTGCATTTAATTGATCACAAATAATAAAAACAGTAATATTGTAAAAATATTATTACAATGTAAAATAACTTTTTTGTATTTTAATATATTTTCAATGTAATCTATGCCTGTGATGCAAAGCTGAATTTTCAGCATCCTTACTCCTTAGGTGTCACATGATCCTTCGGAAATTATTCTACTATAATGCTGATTTGCTACTGAAGAAACATTTCTTATGAATATCAATGCACATTCTTCTTGTAGAAACCGTGATTTTTGAGGATTTTTTTGATTAACTGAAAGATCAAAAGAACAGCTATTACTTGAAACAGAAAGTTATTGTAACATTACTTGTCACTTTTGACCAATTAAATGCATCTTTATTGAATAAAAGTATCCATTAAAACATCTTATTAAAATCCTGTTTTCACTACTCATTAATACAATTCTTTCTTTTTAAGAAAATGCATAATTTGCCTTTGCCCCCTACTTCAAAACAGATGTACATTTGTCTTACAATCTTTACCCATTTTTATTAAATGTAAAAGTTTGTTTACATTTTTATCGGCCTCTTCAACCTCAGTATTGCAGTTCCCTTTCAGTCGGTCACTACGAGTCACGTCCTGACCGACGAATTGGGATCTCGCTTAAAGAGTCCAATCCACTTCGAGTGTAAACTAAACGAGCCAATGCACATTGGCATGCGATGATTGCATCCAGCTGCCGCTGATCACAGCGTGAGCATAAAAAGGCAGCCGGTGCAACGCATACCAGCTTTTCGCTTCAGAGCTGAGTGACAACATCGTTCTGCTCCTACCAAACTGCTTCGTGTGTGACGAGTCTAGCGCGCTCTCGGGAGCTTTTTTATGTTGGCGGACGGCGCTTCAGCGGTGGTCGTTCCTGTGTCGAGTGGGTTGCGCACTTCAGGCTGCACTACCCCCTGTCATGCTGCAAGCAGCCATTTCCCCTGTGCATCTCAGCACATAAAAGAGCATTTCCCTAAAAGAGCCAATTTCTCTAAAAGAGTACAATAAGCGGGTGCATCTTTGTAAAGACGACGGTCGTTACCTGGCGCCGGGTGATGGTCACGATCGCTGCCTCACGTGTCATTAAACGGCATTAAACATGCTGAGGTGGCATTCGCGGATGAGTCATGTTCCCATTGCGGGAAGATGACCATCTCGGAGCTGCGGGCCAGGCTCAGTTTCCTCCAGGGGGGCGGAGCTCCATTGCCTCTGCCACGCTCTAGTGTTCGTCCTGGCGGCAGCCAGGCGTGGACTACTTCGGGCAGTAGCACGGGCGGTCTGAGGGTTACAGTGGTGGCAAACCCCTCAGGGAACCAACCCTCGGGGGACCATCGCTCCTCTAGTGCTTCGCAACCAGTTGAGCTGCCAAAGGAACACGCCCTCTTCAAAGAGCGTACCAGCGGTATCCTTCGGTGCTCCTCCCGACGACCGGATGTCGATCCCTGCATCGGAGGGAGAGCTCTCTGGAGAGGAAGATTCGGCTGCACTGCAGCCCTCCGTGATGGTGGCAAGGCCTGAATCGGATCCTGAGATGTTGGCTATGCTTTCCCGGGCCGCCAAGAGGGCACGGCTCGAGTGGAAACCTCCACCAAGTGCCTCCCCTCCCGGGTCTGTAGTGAACCGTGCCTCCCCTCCCGGGTCTGTAGGTACTCGTCTGGCCTGTCTGGCGATGCTTATATGGCCTGTGGAGAAGCTGCCTCCGCCTTACACGCTACGGCATTACTGCAGGTTCATCAGGCCAAGGCACTGAGGGACCTGCACGAGGGTGGTCATGATTCGGAAGATCTGAAAGAGCTCCGAACCGCTACTGACCTAGCGCTCCGAGCGATGAAGGTCACCGCGAGTTCTCTGGGTTGTGCGATGTCCACACTTGTGGTCCAGGAGCGCCATCTCTGGCTGTGTCTGGCGGACATGAGGGACACCGACAAGGTTCGGTTCCTCAATTCCCGATATGAGGGACGCCGACAAAGTTCGGTTCCTTAATGCCCCTGTGTCCCAGACCGGCCTCTTCGGCGACGTGGTTCGTCATACCCTACCCCGGCGGGCAGCTGCTGCTTCCACCCGTCCGCAGTGCCCCAGCCTGCTCGTCGCCGAGGGGCCCCCATCCGCAGCAGCCTCCAGCAAGCGGCGCCGTGGAGCTGAGCGTAGGCAGGCCGCCCCACCCGTCCAGGCCCCCGTCAAACCTGGCGGTAAGCGAAAGAGCAAGAGGCCCCAGGACGGGTGACCCAGAGAGGGAGGAAGCTGCTCTTTGAGGGATGGTGACGGCACCTCTCCCTCCCCCAGAGGAGGGCCGGGTGGAGAATCTGGAAAATCTCGACGAGTGAGCGGTTTTCTCTGTCCCTGGGTCCCAGGAGAGCATGGAGAGTCGCGGACGGACCAGCACCGGACCACACTCATCCTCCTCCATCGCCAGCAGGCAGCAGCGGGCGGTTCGAGAACATCAACAAAGGCCCTACTCACGCACCCTCTGCCAAACTGTGGAACCAAGCAAGCGTTGCACCGCACACTCAGACCCTCTTTGGTCCGCTCACAAGCCACCCGAGTTGGGTCCCTGCGTTCGACCTCGCTGCCCCACTACGGGTACGGGCACGTGCCCTTCACCGGTTACCGT